CTGTTCTCCTCTGTTGAGAACCAGATACAAGAGGAGGCCAAAGCTGATGTCTTCTGTGTTTAGGAAACCCTGTCCCAGCTGTTGCACAGCAGGGAAACCTGGGCTCTCAGTGACACCAGAAGAAAGTCACCCTGTCTGGATGGTTTAGAGGTGGGGCAGGCAGAGGAAGGCCCTCCAACTGCGCCTGCCAGAGCTCTGGCGGTGGTCGACCCCTGGAGGCTACGCAGGGGCTGGCTGGCATTTGTGGTGGCAGAAGTCATACTGGTCTGGTCCTCTTCTCCCTTTCAGTCTCTTTGTCTTTTTTGTCCCTTTTTAACATTGGTTAAAGATAGTAACCTAAAACTTTGAACCAAGGAGATGGTCAGACTTTCTCTCTGCAGAGACTGCTGGAGACCCCTGCTCTGGAAGCCCCAGGCCGGATTCTCTGGGCCTGTGTTTAGGCAATGCTCCCTAGAAGGCCCCTGTGTTCTCCTCTGGAGGGAGCACGGGCTCTGCCTGCATGGTTGGGGCTGTAGCATCCACTGCTCCAGCCAAAGGCAGTGGGGTGGGAAGCCAGGCAACACCTTCAAAGCCGGAGCAGATCACTGTATTCAGCACCTTTGGGGCTCATTGTTCCTTCATGCCCAGTTCACATGTTAGCACTAGTGGAGGTGTCACAGGTCATCCAGCACTTCCCAAACTTTCTGTGAAGTAAGGGAACCTTTTTCTCCAGAAATAAGGTTCTGCAGAGAACTGCAGTGTTTAAAACAGGCTACAGCAGAGCCGCCCTGGCTGCCATGGGCTGGGGTGCCCCCAACCTGTGCAATGGTGTTCAGTGGCCTCTGCAGAGCTTCCCCACTCCTTCCAGCCCCCTTTTCACCCAGTGAGGCTGGAGAGCTGGTGCCTCCTGCTGGATCTCCAGCCTCTGAGGACTGGGCTACTCATCATCCCTGGGCTTCCAGCCCTAGGGCTGGACTTCACTTCCCAGAGATGAGGGGCAGTGCGCGAGCGCCGAGGACAGGGCCAGCGCTGCTCAGAGCTGTGTCCAGAGCGCTGCAGACATCTTGAGGAGGGCAGGGTAGGGGTCCCCAGAAAACACTCTGGGTGGGGAGGGAGTTGGATAGACAGTGGGGAGTGGGGTAGATGTGTGAGAAAGCACTGTAAAAATGTTAATGGTAGAATCTAGGCATTGGGTATATGGCATCCACTATAAAATTCTTTATCTTTGCCCTACATTTGAAAATTTTTCTAAATGTTAGAGTGGGGAAACATCCTCAGGCCTTGAAGGGTGAGTAGGAATTTGTTTGATGGAAGAGAGGAAGAAAATTGCAGGCAAAGTGCTGATCTCTCAGGCTCCTGCACCCCCAGCAGTTCGGCTGGTGCCTGAGGCCATCTGCCATGCTGAAGTCTGAAAGGCACACGGTGAAGGCGTGCTAAGGTGATGTGCAAGCTTCTGCAGGGGTGACCCTGGGCCTGTTTCCGTGGCACACTGTCATACTCCCCTGGCTTGCACTTCCTGCATCATAAAACCCACCTGCAGTTTGGATGGGAAGTGACTGACCTCTTCCTTTTCTCCTTCCCAGCTGGGTGCCCAGGGCTGCTTGGCCACAACCCCAGGCAGGGCCACACTTCCCTATCCTGGGCCCAGCAGGTGTGGCTGCCTTTGCTGGAAGGAGTGGGCCTGTAGCGGACTCAAGATGCTTTGCTCATCAGAAATTTTTTCACTTCAGTGATGGTCTCAGCAGTATAGGCGCGTGCCCATCCACGGGGGGGACCCACATGCACAGTGCCAGGAAGGGTTCGTAGCAGGCGGCAGAAAGGCAGGCACCTCTTTCCTCTGTCCTGCTGTGCAGTCTTCCCTCTCTTCTGGCCCATGCTCTGTGGCCAGATGTCCAGGATTTCATCCAAAATACTGGGCAAGATTTGCTGCCATAGTATTGGCCAAATGTATTTTTTCCTTTCGTTAGCAGGGGCCTGGCCTTTTTAAGTTAACCTGAAGCCATGCTCCCTTGTTAGCTCTAAATAGGTGGTCCCTGCATTCTAAGGATGTCTTGATATAAATGCTACAATTATTTATGTCATTCACTTCAGTTCTGGCTGTGTGCTTGCTCTTTCTTAAGTTTGGGCATGTTTGTTTGTGTGTGTGAGTGTGCTTCAGTGTGTGGGCCTGGCTTCATTGTAGTATCCCTCATGCATATACTTAATTTCGGAATTAGGGTTGGCTTTCCTGTGTACTGTGATTGTCCCCGTGGTGACTGGATTGGACCTGGGAGCATCTATTGGCACCCACAGCAGTCGTGCAGCTGTCCATCACTAACAGACCAGGCCAGGCTCCAAGGCCCAGGCCAGTTTCAAGTGCCCCCCTCCTGGTTGGGACATGAGTCACTCACGATGGCAGAGAGTGGGCATCTTATGGTGTTTCACTTTTCACTTGACAGTGGCATCTTCTGCAATTAGTTTTTGGTATTTGCCTCTTGTTATTAATTCTAACACTTGCCTGTATGTTTATAGATGGTTACTGCTGGGTCATCTGGGTTTGGGATGAGTCCCAGAGAGGGGAAAATTAGATTCTGGGTAAATGAGTCCCTGCCCTCTGAGTGAAGAGCACTGGGGGAGCTAAGCTGGTGTGAGCAGCTGAGCAAGGGCCTGGGTGGGGAACGGCTGTGGGGGTGGAGTGCGGCTGCAGAGCTCTTTGGAGTGCAGGTCCCCATCCTTCCCCTAGTGCCAGCCTGGTCACTACCTCCCCCTTCTCCACACCTCTGCTCTGGAGGGAGCATCACCATGTGCCCAAGCTGATTAGGCCTGGGTGCGCAGGTACATGAAGTATCAGGTTGTGGGTAGGGAGACCGGGGTTGTGACTATACAGTGATTTGCTAGATGCTCCTGCCTTCCAGGGATGGTCCTGCCTTCTCCAAACCCTGACGGGGAGTCTTAGGAGAACTAGAGTGGTAATCTGACCATAGAAGAAACCAGAAGACCCAGACACCGGACTTGGTGTCCCCACTGGCTGAGAGAGACTTACAGCACCATTCTGGCCCTGCAGAGGGTTAGCAAGAGGGGAGAACTGAAACAAAGGGCAGCGTTTCTGTAACCAGCTAGACACAACCTGGCTTTTAGTGTTACAGTGTTCACAAGCCAGCAAATCCCAAAATGAATCTTTTTTTTCTTAAGGTAAACACCAGACTATTTTGTACCCAGCTGCCTCACTCTAGGTACCTTCTCTTAAAAAATGTAGTTGTACTGGGGTAATTCTGGGCTGACCCACATGGACCAGGCCTTCCTCAGCTGCCCTGCTCTTGGGGAACGAGCCCCTGCAGGCTGAACCATTCCAGCCCCTCAGCAGTGAAGCAGAGTGTGCACATGTGTGTGTGTGTGCGTGTGTGTACACCATTTGGATACCTTGGCCTAGGTGTGGCTGGAAGGAATGCAACTTGTCTTCATTAATTGGTTCTCTCAAAAGCACTTAAGGCATAGCTCCTACATGTCCTTCATGGATATACTGGGAAATATACTGGGGAAATAGGGACAGCAGATGCCATCTTTGGTGCAGAGGGGGAGGCAGATCAGGAACCAACCTTGAAGTCCCCACCATGCAGTGTGGGCTGCATTACAGGGCACTGGGGCATTCCCTGCTTTGCTGTTTTGACTACCTCAGTGATCAGACTCAGCACAATTACTGGGCCTTTTACCCATGTGTGGTCAGTGCAGGGCTTGAGGGCATCCCTGGGGGATAAATGACAGCATCTCCCTCAGAGTTTCTGAACCTCCTAACCAACTTATCCAGATTATAAGACAAAATGCAGAGCTGAATGGATCATGTATGTCTGCAGTGGGTAGAGCAGTTAGTTACCTCTGCCAAAAACATTTGCAGAAAGAGGTGGTTTTGAGGCCAAGCTGTGAGAAGGAAAGACCTTTGCTTCATCCCTTATCCCCTGCACTCTGTGAGTCATCTGCTGCTACCAGTGTCCAGGTAGGTGGGGCCAGCACCTCGCCTCTGCGTCATCCCCAAATGGTCCTTGGGACTTGGAGCTCATTCCACGGGCAACCCCAGTAGGGAGCGATGTGGGGCCGGCCTGGCAGGCCTGCTATTCTCTCATCTGTGGGCTCCTCGGTCTGACTCACAGGATGGAAAGGATGTTTCTGAGGGGGCCCCACAAGCAAGTTTCAGTGGGAGCCTGCAGCAGGCTGCTGTCCCCAGCAGGGAAGGCCCGAGGCGCCAGGCTGTGAAGTGACAAGGACCTGGCTTCAGGGGCCACTGCTACCAAGGTCATGGGAGGCTCCAGTGCTCCCTGGGCATTCCCAAGGGTTTTCTTTGGCCAGCTAAGGAGCTTCCTGAGCTTCTGAGGTCTCAGCAGGATGCAGACATGCCACCAAAATGGGCCTAATACAGCCATAAGATACACTATGCTGTTGCTGGGAATGTGAACAAGCTGATTTGATCTTTTGAAGGGTCTGTGTTACCAGTCAATATTCTAAATGGCCATACCCTTTCACCCAGAGATTTCACACCTAGGAATGTGTCCTATGGAAATGCTGACACAAATGCAGAAGCATGTTATACAAATATTCATTGCTACATTATTTGGGTTGGCCAAATAAAGGGGAGACTTTGACCTAAATGCCAAGAGCAGAAGAATGACTAGATCAATGATACACACACAAAGGGATGAGGCAGTCTGTATGGAGTGACAGGGAAAGGCTTCTGGGAGATTTTGTTGAAGAACAAAAACAAGCTGTAAAGAATCGTATTTTAAAAACATTTGTACAAGCGTGCTTCTGTACATACAGCAGCATATAGATACGGACATTTGTCTTTCTGTTGACAAAGAATTTGGTTCCTCTGGGGTAGGAGGAGGTGGGGGGGGGGGGACCTCCCACTTTGCATCCTACCCACGTCTAACTACATGGACCAGCATGTACTCCCTTTGTGGCTTTTAAGAATCGGTACACATTTTTCCAAAGGAAAAAGCATGTGAAAAAAGCTTGCCCAGCAGGCTAGCAGGGCTGCATGTGTCCCCTAGGAGCTGAACAGGACCTGCCGGGCCATGCAGCAGCGCATCGTGGAGCTCATCTCCCGCGTGTCCAACGAGGAGGTCACGGAGGAGTTGCTGCATGTCAATGACGACCTCAACAACGTCTTCCTCAGATACGAGAGGTGGGAGCCAGGGTCCTTTCTTTTTCCCTTGAAAAGATTGTTGCCATAACAGAGGGATTTCTTTCATAAACAGAGGGGAGAGAGAGAAAGATTAGAGTAGGAAAATGCTCATCAGAGATGCTGATTTGTTCCCCATGACAGGGAAAATGCTTTTTGTTCCCCTGGGAAAGAGCAGCCAGGTGATGCACAGCATTACTCTCTGCCCTTTGAGCACTCCAGGCTGCTCTGCTTCCCTCCTACCCCTGCCCCAGGTGGGAACTGAGGGCCAGGGACCCCAGAGCTTCCACCTGCTCCTTTGAAAATCCTTTGAGTTTGAGAAGGATTAAAGGGGAAAAAAATTTCTGCTAAGGGAAAAAGAGTTCCTCTTCCTCATCTTTAAAAAAAGAAGTTACCAAAGGGAAAGGGACTAGGGAGGGATACGGTGGGGGGTAGAAAGGGAGCATTATGATTAGCATGTATAATGAGGGGGGGCATGGGGAGGGCTGTGCAACACAGTGAAGACAAGTGGTGACTCTACAGATCTTACTAGACTCATGGACAGTGACTGTGAAGGGGTATGTGGGGGGGACTTGGTGATGGGGGGAGCCTAGTAAATATAATGTTCCTTATGTAACTGTAGATTAATGATACCAAAAAAAAATGTCAGTGGTCTAGAGTGACTGGAAGCAGGCAAGAGGAGTGCTGGAAAGCTGCTACTTAGGGGGACTAACACGCTCACAACTTGCAAATCATTCTTTTCCCTTTTCAAAGCCTCCCCTCAGGAAAAAGTGCAAAGTGCCTTATTCAGACACAGTTGTCAATGGAGGTATAATGGCAAGCAGTTCCAAGTGTGCCTGGGGCTTTCCTGAATCACCAGGTGCTGACCCCAGGTATTGGCACAAGAGAGCCCCTTGACCAGGCTAACCTCCTCCCGAGTCTGAGGGCAGGCCCTCTGCTGACTCGCTGCAAGATGATCTGGCATCAGTTTGGGTTGGTGTTGCAGACACTTGTATCTGGGGGCTTCGAGGATGATTTTGCTGTGCCTGTCACACCCTTGGGCCTTGTCTCAGCTTCACTGTGACAGTATGAGTAGGAGGCCCTGTGTCCATCTGACAGAGAAGAAACCTCTGCAGGAGAATGGGTGGCCACCCAGGGCCCTCAGATCTGAGGTACCTGACTCCCAGCCCAAGACCCCATGGGTCTTGCCATGTGATTGCAGTTGTCACTTGTTAAAGCCATTTCTGCTGCTGGAACAGGATGACTGGAACGTATGGCATTTCACCTGAGTCTGCCAATTCCAGTGTTACCTTGAATTCAGAGGCAATGCCTGGGGCCAGTAGCCCTGAGGTGCCATTTTGGCTTGAGTGCCTTTGATAAAGCTAATTGTCCTAGAAAATGTGCAAGAAAGGTACTCCAGGATTAGACACTTTTCAGATGGACTAATATTCCTGTTCTCCTTATACACCATGGTTGAAAAACCATATGGGCCTCTCTTTACAACCACAGACAACACTCAGTGCCTGAGCAGATTCTCTGTCCTGGGGATCGCTACTCTCCAAGCACTGACCCCAAAAGAGAGGGAGACCAGTGTGGGGCAGCGGATCTCAGTAAAGCCTGGAAACAAAAGGTCTGTCAGCTAACTCTGCCTGTGGCATTAGAGCTTTGAATGCAGTGACGGCCTCCACACACGACTTGCAGTTGCTCCCCTGGCTCCTGCTGGTGTGAGGGTGGCTCAGTGTGGGAGAGCAGAGGCTTCCCGAGGGAGCTCTAAGGCAGGTCCCGTCCCCAGCCAGTCGGCAGCTGGCAGCCCCTCCTTGGTGGGCCTCACTGCCCCCCAGCTACTGGGAACCTCACCAGAGCAGAGGCCTGTGCCTGCCTTCCTCTTCTAGGTGCCCGCCCTGTGCCCACCCCCACCCCACCCCTCTTCCTGCCAGCAAGCTGAGCCCAGGGCATTTTAGTGACATCAGCTAATCACTCCCAGCACAGCTGTAAAATAGGGAAGGGGCTGCACCTCCTGCCTGGCTTTGCAGATAGACATCAGTGCTGCCTCCAGGCTGGGTGGTTGGTTCTGCCACCCTCTTGCTAGTGGTGCTTTGGGACCAGGGTGTGGGCAGCTGGGGTGCTTATAATGGCCTCCTGGACACACCAGCCAACACCACCCTCATCTTAGAGCCTGTGGGTAAGGTGAGGCAGGGAGGCTGACCCTCCTGCAGAGCAGCCCCACACAGGTACTTGTGGTAAAGTTGTGTTTGTGTGGGTCCACTGCCCCAGCACCCCGAGTGGGCCTGGTTGGCCTCCTTTCCCAGAGCCTTGGTCTCTGCTGGCCCCTAGGGCCCCTGTCCCTGGGCCTTTCACAGGGCTGCTGAGCATCCCTCTCATCTTACTCTGCTTTCACTTCCCGTTAGGTTCGAACGATACAGGTCGGGCCGATCAGTTCAAAATGCCAGTAATGGAGTAAGTATTCCTTCAGAATTTTCATCTCCAGAGGCTGGGAGACCTGACTCAGTTTGGTCTCACCTTCAGTTTTGTAGCTGTGTTTTAAATGTTTGGGTCATTGGAGAGCAAGCCGTGGCTGGTGGGATACTGAGGAAGTGGCTGGCGGGCATATCCCTGGTGGGAAGAAGGCAAGGAAGCCCCAAGTTACAGCTCCCAGGACACTCCCTCGAGTGTGGTGAGGAGCCGGTGGGCAGGGGCCCACTCAGCTGGGGTCCGCAGGGGAGCCCCGACATGGGGCGAGGGAAACTGCCTTGCTGCTGAGTGGGGGCAGCACTGATGCTGTTCCTCCAGAAGCCTGCTCAGTGCCCACTGGCTTCTACCGTGGAGCCCGAGACCCGGGTTCGGGGACTCACTGCAATCTCATGCTCTGACAGGTACTGAATGAAGTAACTGAAGACAACTTGATAGACCTGGGGCCGGGCTCTCCAGCTGTGGTGAGCCCAATGGTGGGGAGCAAAGCGCCCACATCTTCCCTCTCCTCCCAGCTTGCAGGCTTGGGTGAGTGTCCTGTGGGCTGTAAAGGAGTGTCCTTTGCAGGCCACTTCCTGGTTGTGAGTCTGGGCTGAGGGCCCCTTTCTCTCTTTTTGTTGGAAGACCTGAAGAGAACCTATTGGGGAATCCATGGGAAAGTATTCCTGAGTCCTGGCCAATCATACAACCTTTGATTCATAACTTCTTTTCCTAAACTTAAAGTTTAAACCTGTGTTGGAAACTGGGGTGGGTGGAGTTCCGAGGAACTGAAAGTTGTTTGCTTTTTAATGAAAGGTGGCTGCTGCATTTTAGCTGAAATATTCTCTGTGATGGGAGTGGTTTCTTTCTCAGTACCAATAAGGCTAAGGATGGCAAATAGGTTTCAGCTCATTGGCTGCTGGGAACACAGGTCTAAGAAGGATGCTGCAGCCACATAGGGCTTAGAAGACGAGCCTGTGGTTGACTGGGGATGTCTCCTGTGGGCTTGGGGATCAAAGGTGATGGCAACACACGTTTGCTGTCCTTACTGACATCAGCCCAAAGAGCTCCATTGTCTGAAACCTATAAAGAAAGGGACTCACCACCTTCCCACAGTTCATTCAGTTTAAAAGTGTGTGTATTATTCTAGATGCTTCAGATACACTGGATGATACCAATTCCTAACAAATAAAACCATAGTGTTGAAATAGTTCATTAAGAATAGCCCTCTCAACATTCTTTCTTCTACCGTACTTTTCTGTTTTCTTTTTTTCCCTTAATATTTACCTTTACAACTTCATTTCATTTCAGTTGAATTGAGCTTTTATTTAGTGGCCTGTCAGTTGCTGTAATTCTGGATTCCCAGTATCTCACATACCTGCAGCCACTGTTTCTCTTTGAGCACAGATTTCGCTGCCTTCAATCCATCTAGCATATGTGACTATCAGATTTAACACCCAAAACTCAATTTCAATTCTGCCACCTTCCTTCTTAAAAAAGGTTGAATATTTTTCCCATGAAGACCTTTACCCCAGCTTTTGAGGCTTTTCTCAGCCATCGTCAGCCTCTCCTCACTGTCTCTCTCCATGAATATTGCCCGCTCGACATGCCCTGGGCTCCCGGGGCTCTGTGCCTCGGCGCCTGCCTTGCACTCCGTCTCCCTGCACATTGTCCCACTCATCTGCCCTGAAAGACCCACTCTTGTGACAGTTTCGAGTATTGCTGATACTTCAAGCTCAGTGCTGCTGTTGTCAGCCTGTCTCCCTTCTACTTGGTGAGCTCCTGGAGGCCAGGACCCCATCAGGTTCAGTCAGGTCCACTCAGGATCTAGCTCCAAACATGGTGGGTACCTACGAGATATTTGTCAGACAAAGGGGCATTCTGATGAGGGCATTGTGGGGGCCTATAGGAGCTCCTTGCTCTCCTGATAACTTTTGCTCCACCTGAGCATCTGGGGGGTCAGGGGCTCTTCTCTCCCACACCTGGGCCCCACTGTGCCTCTTCATGTGTGTGGTGGGCCGGGAGTGCTGAGGAAGTGCCTGTGTCCCCCTGCCTAACCTCCCCATAAAACTTTAACTGCCCAGCCAGCATCCTAACTTTGGGACCCCCAGGAAATTCATGACCCACAGTTGCTCATCCTTGTCATTTTGTTGCCACAGACTTGGGCACAGAGAGCGTCAGTGGCACTCTCAGTTCACTCCAGCAGCGTGATCCCCATGATGGCTTTGACATGTTTGCCCAGACGAGAGGAAACTCCTTGGCCGACCAACGCAAGACGTATGTGGGAACCATTTCAGTTGCTCTCAGGAGATACTGGGGTAGGATTGATCCAGGCCTGGTCACAGGCTAACACAAAGGGACCTTTTATTTATCAGGTCCAGGACTACCAGGAACTTTGAAATATGGCTGTGAGTACTTGTCAGCAGATACAGATGTTGACTGAATGCCAGCACCTCCCTTTGGGGTTGACTGTAGTCGGATCTCTCCCAGCAGTCCCTGGAGAGCACTCTGCTCCCCAGGCTGCTCCTTCAGAAGCCTGGTCTGTAGGCTGAACTGGGAGCCAGTAAGGTGCAGCCAGGCAGGGACTGAATTGGTTCCTAGCAGCCTGGTTTTCCTGCTTGGAGCTCTGGGCAAAGACTTCTCTTCCAGCAGCTCTGGCCAGGATGAGCCGTATGGAATTAGAACTGATTCCAAGTAGCCAACCATTGCATGTCAGGGAGGCATGGGCACATGCTTTGAGCTTTCTGTTCAGCCTAAAGGCAGGTGAGAAACACTTCTCCCCACTTTCCCAGGGCCCAGCAGCTTGATGCATTCAGCTTTCTGAGGTCCATGCTCAGGAATCAACAGGCTTACCAGAAAGTCCAAGACCCCAAGCCCCCTTTATCAGCAAAAGTTGCTTTTAAAATGGATACAGGAAAAGAGATCAGGTTTCTGAGGAAGAGAACCCCCATAATCAGTGACAAAGCCCAGTCCCAGATGGTGAGACTACCTTCCTTGTCAAATACCACTGAAGCTGCTGCTTCTATAATAAGAATCAGTATTACTTTGCCTTACTGTCCCCTCCCTCTGAGCAGTTTCTGAGCACTTCTGACATCCTGTCATTGAGGTTTAGAGATGCCCTGGCATTGTTATTCAAGAGGGGAACACTGAAGTGCACAGTGTCCTGGACCCAGAGGAAATAAGGGGCTGAGCCAGTGCTAGGACACCCAGGTGTCCTCACCACAGCTGCCATCAGACAGTGGCATGAGCCCTCAGCCTCTGACCAGATGCCACATGAGGAAACCTTTTTCCAAGGACATGTGAGGAAGTACCATGGAGAGAGTCACTGCCCCGTCCCCTGTGACCCCCGGGGGGGCCTGACTGCTGTGCTTCTTTGTCTCCAGGGTGACCTACGAGGATCCCGAGGCTGTCAGAGGACTTGCTTCTGCACTAGACAGTCGGAAACAGAGCTCTGAAGTGGTAGGTCTCTACCCTGTTTCTTTGCCTGGAGTCTCCTAGAGGGAGAGTCAGTCGGTTTGGTAAAGCTGACTGGATAATTAAGCAGAAGCTGGATTGCACAGAGGGTAGGACACTCTGGGGGAGACTGGGAGAGCACTGTATTACCTCACTGAGTCCTCACCCCACCCCGTGGGTTGACTTCTCACATCTGCTTCCCCATGACACCCATGAGGAAACAGGCCCAGAGAAGCAGCAAAATGCACAGGGCACCACGAGAGCAGACAGCAAGCAGGGACCCACTCCTAAGAGGCCTGCCCCAGGACCCCTGTTCTTCCTACCTTGGTGGCCCTGGGCTGGCAGAGCACAGGACTCCTATGGCCACATTTGCGTCACTATAACAGATGCTGTAGTGCAGTGGGGGTGGGCATGAAATAATGACCCTCACAAGGATGGGAAACTCTGGCCTTAGCCGCATCCTGCTGCTCATTTGTAGCTGGCCTAGTGAGTCAGTACCAACGCGTTAGAAGGCAGCAGGTGACCAGGATTTGTCTGGGAGCTGGGGCTTAAGGAGTGGGGAGGAGCAGCTGGGTGGTGGCTATGAGGGTGCTCAGGGAAGCTCCGTGTCTGGAAGGGGTAGAGCTAAAGGCAGAGGTACTCTGAAGAGGAGGATGGTGCATGTGTGAGCCCTAAAAGGCAGCCATGATTTCTGTAAGATTTCAGGTCCTGCATGGGAAAGGTTGTGTCTTAAGCTTCTCATGAGATTTTCTTCTCTTTGCCCAACTAAGAAATGTGTGACAGTGTGTGGGTGAATGCCTGTTTGCGGAAGCAGCTGGGGAGGGCTGTTGAAACAATGGCCCCAGAACAGCTGGAACTCTTTGAAGGGTTCCCCAGCTGGGCTAGAAAGGGGCAGGGCTCATCTGTCCACTGGATGAGGAGATTTGCTTCCCGAAGGCCAGTTCTTGGCATCCGGCAGCCCCTGTCCAAATGGGCCCAAGCAGGCAGTAGGGCTGTGGCCTGGTTTCCATGAAAAAGCTGCCTTGGGGGCAGGGACCTCCCATCCCTCCCTCTGGTTCTCCTGACTGAATATGAGGGCTGTGCGTCCCTCTGCACCGGCCACCAGGGGGCACAGTAGAGCCAGCCCAACTGCCTTAGGGTCTCAGCCCCCCTGCCTTTCCACGGACGGGTGAGCAGTGTTACTCAGACTCCCCAAGACCGTGCACTGGCCAAGGCTCTGTTCTCCCCTTCCTTAGAATGTTCTCCCGCCTAACTCAGGGAGGGCAGTAGGGAGCTGGGCTTGAGGGCCCAGCAGCAACTTGCCCCCCTACTCCTCTAGCCTGGCCCTCAGTCCCAGCCTTCAGCCAGCCCGACATGGTTTGCTTCCCACTCTGCCTCCAGCGCCTGCCCCTTACATGCCAGGGTGAGGCCTGCCACACCTCTGCCGTTATCAGTGCCCAGGCCTGGAGCCAAGCACAGGAGATGTGGCTGACCCCCACCCTTCACCCTTTACATGCATGGCTTGGCCCGTCTCGCTGTTTTCAAAGGTCTGAATGACTCCAGCTTGTTTTCCACATGATGGTAGGCAGACTGCTTTTCATGTTTACTGCTCAGTGGTTTGATGTGGGGAAGCAGGGCTCGTGTTGCCTGTAGTGTGTTGGCTGTGTGTGTGTATGTTCATGTGTGTTCTCGTGTCTGTGTGTGTGTCTTTGTATCTGTGCACACACACACACACACACACACACACACACACACACACACACACTTACTCACATACGTCTTTAGGCCAGTACTCCAGGCTGTCTTGTTCCATATCCTAAAAACTATGCTGACCTGGAAATGAAACCTGGGCTGAGGGAGAAATTAAGAATACAATAAAGGGAGGAGAATCATACAGCCATACCTCCACAGTACAACCAAATCAGTTGTCTTAACTTTAAAAACATATCATTTTTTAAAAAGGGCAATATTCTCAAATTCAGCATTCCAATTAAGAGTTTGGAAAACGACCACACAGATAACTGAAAAGGAATGCAGAAATAAATTAGAAGAAAGTAGAATGATTTTGTGAAAACTGGTTCTTTGAAAAGTTGGCAGTCGGGAGAAGCAGGCCTGGTCGACCTTCTGTGACCTCACGGTGATTTTCCAAGTGTACGGGAATCATTGGCATGAGTGTATCACTCTGCTGGGATTCTCAGATACTAAACTGCTCTTTTCTAGGCAGGTAAGGGGGACATGCTGGAGGGGGGCAGGGACATTGGGTTACATCTCCTTACATGACAAAAGATAAACTTTGAACAGTGGCTTTTCTGTCTCCCCCATATGTACTATTGCCTTCTTTCTCACTGNTGGGTTACATCTCCTTACATGACAAAAGATAAACTTTGAACAGTGGCTTTTCTGTCTCCCCCATATGTACTATTGCCTTCTTTCTCACTGTGACCTTCCTTTCTGGAACTTTTCTGTCCTCGGCGCAGGAGAGAGGTAAAGGTGGGGACTCTGGCCTAGAACCCATAGACAGCTGGCTCATTACCCAAGGAATGGTGAGAGGGCACCAGCTGAGCTGAGCCCCGTGTCCACCTCAGCACTTTCCTCTGTCACCTGCTGAGCCCTTGTGAGTCAGACAGTACAAGGCCATTTTCTCCTTCTTACCGGGTGCCAAATTTTCCCCTCCTGTCTTTGGATGATCTCCTTAAGCCAGAGACTTCCAGTCCAGAAACACCTCTGTTTTTCTACTGATGTCTGTGCCTCTGGGCCTTAAGGGTCTAGGGCATTTGTAGGGGTGAGGGGAAGGCCCCTTCCCTCCTTTTACTGTCTCTGGAGCTCTCGGCAGTATTCACTTTTCCAGGATGAGCACAAGTTACTGTGGCTTTTGCTTGGGAAGGGACGTTTCTAAGAAAAGAGGCTCAAAACATCTGACTGGTCTGAGAAGCCCCTTCCAGCCTGGGCACTGGTCAGTCCTAGGCTGATAGGTCTTTACTGTATAGTTGTTTGTGCCACTACATTCCCCCAGCAGAATTGAGACAGCTCTAAGAATCACAAGCACAACAGCAGAAGAAAAAGACAAAACTGGGAGAGCTGAATATCACAAGCACAGTCGGTTCTCACAAAGTAGAGCTTTGCCAGCAGAGACCTGGCAGGTGTCTCCTGCCTCATCTGATCAGGTGGCCCTGGGTCTGGTGCACAGAGAGAAGGTACCTTGTTCCAGGCTGCTTGCCTTGGTGTGATGATTTCACTTCTAATGAAGCACAGCCCTCACCAAGCACCTCTACTGCGAGGAGCAAAGGTCTGTGCGTGTGTGTGTGTGTGGTGGATTGGAGCAGGGGAGGATGCAGAAGAGAGATGGGAAGGGGGAAAGTGAATGCCTCTGGGGTGAGGCGGGGCTGTGCCAGATGCTAGACTTACTCTGGGGAAGAAGCATAACTGTCCCTGGGGACCATGCTGGGCTGTGGCCAGGAGAGGGCTGTTCAGTCTGGGCCAGCATATCTGAGACTACAGGCTGCACAGGGGGGCCACCTGCCTGAGCAAGGTGTGACTGGCCTGCGAGGATGTGGGCCACACAGGGCCATCCTACCCATGGGGGTGGGGGTGTCTGCCTGCCAGCAGCTTGCAGCTGGGCATCTGCACAGCCCCACTCAGGGAGGGCTAGTCTTCCTCCACCTGTCACAGCAGACGGGCTCTCCATCCTGCTCTATTTCTGCACCAAACCCCAAAGCTGTTCTTAGAGACATAGGCTACCTGGGCCCCTGGTTTCTTTCTCAGGGGCAGGCTGGGACTCTGGCCCAAATGTATGTGTGGCCTTCAAGGAGGACTCCTGGAGACCATGTCCACTCCATTGTCCAAATTGGGAGGATCCAGCCAAGTGTCCTTGTGCTTATTAATCCTGTAAAAAAGGATACTGCCCTCACAAACCCCGCTGAGTGTGGCCTTGGTGGCTGGCGGCGGCATGTGCCCCTGACACAGGCTGCTCCCCTCTGCCCTGTCCCCACCTAGAGCTCCAGTCTCCAATTCCCTTGAAACAAGCCCAACTAACAGCTAACCTGGTGTCTTACCTGACTGACTGTAGTGTTGTTTTCTTTTAAAACAATGTATATTACTCGCTTTGCCTTATTTCCCATAGCATAGAAACCCTGAGTCTTTTTAAACCTCCGAAATACAAATTCTTTACTTGGAAACTTTTTGTACTGCTGAGTGAGACCAAAGGGCTTTTAGACTATTCCTCCCATGGGGGCAGCCGTGGAAGCATCTCCCAACTTCTCCGAAAATAGCACACCTGGGCGACGGAAATTGCTCCTGTGGCCTGAGAAATTGGACAGTTAGGTTTCCTTGTGGCTTTGGCGCTGTGGGAGAATGGGCCCGTGCCCCCCGGGACATGAATGCATGGCTAGCCAACACCAAAGTTACCGTACCACGTCCACACTGACTGAGGAGAACACGGAACTGTCACAGCCAGCCTGCCCAGAGACTGCTGGTGCACATACTGTCTCTTCCTGCCCTCTCTTGCTTGAGGGCCTTTTCACCTCTCTTGGCTGGTGATCAGAGAGGGGTATCTCCCATACACAGGGTGCAACCAGGAAAATATCCTGATGTTAACGAATATAAGTCCCAACAGAATGTAACTAGGTTAGTAAAAAGGGTCTGAGGCTGCCAAAGCCCAGGTTTGGGGTGCGGGATGGGAGAGTTCCCTACTCAGACCCGGAGGACCCCCAGACCCAGCAAACCTGCAGCCCAGGGAGCGCTGGAACTCTCCCCGTGGCGGGTGACCCTACTGCGCCTGAAGCAGAGCTGCCCTGCCTGCAGCCCAGTGAGAGTCAGCTGTCAGTAGACAGTCCATCCACCACTCACACCAAAACCTGCTGCTCTGGCATCTGACATGCCAGTTTCTCTTTGGGCTCTGAGCATGGCAGGGCTGGTCTCGCCATCACCTCAGCTGAGCCAGCCCATCCAGCCTGTCCCCAGAGGACGTCATTTTCAGATGCTGGTCTTTATTGGAAGGTGTTGCTGTAGCAGCTTCCCTTCCTGTCTCC